CTTCATCCAAAAATTCTTATTTAAATAATACCTGCGAATCGGGGCGTTACATGATAGCCCTTTTTGCCGAACTTGAAACACCTGAACCCTGATCGGCAAGTACCCTAATGAACCTTACCGCACTTGCTGCAATAGAAGTCATGCTAGTTGGGTCTGAACAGGGGTCTGCCTTTTCTCCTTCCTTTGTGTCTCTAACTCTATCTCCTAGGCATGCGACTACAACTCTACTAGGGTCCGGTACTTGGTGCTTGATACGAACTCCTGTATCTCAGTCTTGAGCATTCTCATGTATAGGGCCCTCTCGATGAACATCTTGGTGATCTCCGTCACCGACTCTGTCATCTGGTTGAGCTACAAATACTCATTAGCCAACCTCTCTCTTTCTCTACCAGTGGAACATACTCCGTCTGGAACATCTCCAAGAATTGCTCCCAAGTCACTATGGTGCAGGAGAAAACGTCTGGGTTGCAAACTTCCACCAGTCCTTCCCTCCCAAGCGAAGAAGGTTCAGCAAAAATCTGACCTTCAGGTTCTCCAGGAAAGAACACGTATAGAAACATCCTTCAACGCCTGAGATCTACCTCATTCCAATGATTGGTCCGTGATCCCATCAAACCCTAGGGGCTTCATGTTACTGAAGTCCCGATAATGCACCGATCCACCCCCTGAGGTCCTGCAGAAGTAACATCTACAGTGGTTGCGACAATAACAACATCAGTGACAGCGCCATAGCGCTTGGGAACATCTTAATTAGTATGGTCTTGATAAACCTAGAAATCTCTAGAATCGCCTCCCTAACTGCTATGGTCAATTGAGTGGAGATCAAATTTTGGATCTCATCATCACTCATCCCCAACCTCTCAAGGCCAACTGTGCCTGAACCGGATCCTCTGGTCATCACCATGTTGAAAATTTATAGCAAACGGGTCAAAAATCGAATTATGATGTTAACACACTATACACTCAGCTACCCACTCCTTAGAATCCTGTGACTTCCATAACACTCATACGGATCTTGTGCTTCTGGTAGTATAGGCCCATACTACCTTCCGTACCTCTCTGTATTTGTCTCAAGAATCATCCCTAATTCTAAGTCACTAAACTCATACGTTGTGCCTCCGGTAGTATAGGCCCATACTACTAGGAATCACAATAATCAGGCAATCCTATCATGCAATTCCCGAGGATCCTTAGCCTATTCATTAACATGTAGTTGTAGCAATTCACATATCAACAAATAACAAGTATGAATATTTTCAGGGATCACTATCCTTTGAGCTTCGGTTGACTGTACACATTGCATCCTCTTCCTTCTTCTTAAAGTTATTTTAAGGAAAATAGTTGTAAATTTTTTCGCAGATCCTTATTTTGAGTTTCGAATCACACGAGTGTTAATCAAAATACCTTAAACCAGGACTTTGATACCAACTTGTAACGTCCCAAAAACCATGGTAAATTTTTTTAATTTTAAGAAGGAATAAAATCGATTTTTATAAAGTCGTACACCCCCAGAATAACTGTTTCACAAGTATAGAACCAAAATTAGAGTATCAAAATATAACATCTCCAAAAATCATGAAGTCAATTGGATAATGTGTACATTCATGCATTTGCTTTGCCCCAATCCTTAGAAGTACCTGAGACATTTAAATCCACAACTGTAAGCCAAAGCTTAGTGAGTTCCCCAAAGTATCACATACAACACCAGACAATGAAATATATAAAACAACTATTGGTTATCAGCAACCCCAAGCTATCAACAACTCACATATAGCCATTCGGGTTATCAGCAACCTCGACCTACCAGCAGCTCACATACACACATACAACATATTATATAAGTAACACAGTGAGAAAAGTCACCTTACAGACAAAACAGAAACCTCTACAGCTCAAAAAACACGAAGGCAAGCACAACAACCACCTAAACAGGTATTCAAAGGTCAAACTCAGCCTATTACCTAAAACCCTAAAGTTTGACCTAAGGTCAACCTTAGACAAAAGGTAACGATCAAAGTCAACATGTGAGTCACCGCGTTGAATAGAAATTCATTGCAGGTAGTCTTATATTTCCTCTATGAGTTTTGTTATTGGTAAATTGCGTTCATGAACCAATAACATGTGGATGAATTTTGGAATATCAATGTTGACTACATTCCAATGAATGTTAAGGAAATAGGGTTTTTCCAATTTCTCATGACCGATGTAGGCAAGAAACACACATGCGGCAGGGGGTAGCCAACAAAATATTTCTTTAAAATCAGATAAAGTATATGATTTTCATATGCCATAATAAAAGTTCTAATGTTCTGTTTCGACTAACTCTTGTGCGCACATGCAATACCAAACTCTTACAACAAAACCCATGATAAGAATCACGGAATGCCTGACCTATGGAAAAAGTTATCACGTCGTCTATATTGGTTATAAACAATACTTCCCTAGTGTCCCTGAGATCTTCCTTCAACCTCATCAAGAACCACATATAAAACTTGACATTATTTGCCACGACTAAACAGAATGCTATAGACATGGTCTCGTTGTTTCTGTCCATAGCAACCATTATGAACATTGTCTATAAGACAGTCTCCTCTGAGAAGGACACTACCTATAAAGATGACAGACATCAAGCGACCTATGAATGTATGATGTTGATTTTTTTGGGGGGCAAAATAAAACAAGTTGTTAAAGCATTAGAAATTTTAAATAAATAATTAAAATTTGTAACAAAATTATCTTACTACACATATTATAACCACAAAACAATGTTGAAAACGATCCATAACATTAGTTTTGATGTTGGTGTAACTATGAGGGTTTGCTCTCCCAATGTTATGCAGGTAAACATGCAACTTGGCAAAGTTTTTTTCATGATTGTTGTTTGAGAAACTCATCTTTAAGCGGTTATAAAACAACATAATTACATATTTTTGTTGTAAGTAAAACTAAATTGGAATACACATGTTTATATAATTAATGTGTCGGGCTATCAGTCGATATGTACGGTTTTGACTAGGGTGGTCCCAAATTGACCATGTCATTCCGGAATATATGACCATAATTAAATCCATACCTACCACGTTTGTCTGGATTACATAGTATTTCTCAAGAATAACTTATTCCGGAGAAGGTGATCATTTTTCAAAAAAATTTAAACGTTGGTTATTTTTATTAAAAAACTCATTTATAATGGTTACTTTACTTAATTTCTCTAAATACTTTTGTTGACTTATTTTAGAAAGTTTGATATAGTGAACTGGTTTGTTAGGGATTTCATCAACCGATTGGTTCCGTTTTGGTCCCTACTTAGACATAGCTCCTTTTGTGTGCCATGGACCTTACTTTTCCAAATAATTCAAATATGCTTGAACTTATGAAATAACAAATATTTCTTCACTCCTCCACTTGCTCTAGCAATTATAAATTTATTTTGTCGTGGAGGTTGAGCTTTTGGTATCATAATCGATTTGTATTATTGTATAGACAAATTTTGGTGAAGCATAATTCACTCAAACCGTAAACCACAAGCCTATTCGAAACGTTTGACTCAAACCATTAATGAATATAGCTAATCTTACCAAAGCATAATTCGCTTGAACAATCTAGTATTATGTTCTCATACTAAACCATAAACCAAACTAATCAATCTTTGTTAACATCTATTCTTCCTATCACTGAATTCTAATATAAGATCATAAAGCTTATACATATAACCCTAGTAGAGTTGACAATGGGTAAACCTGGGTTAGGTTCGGGTTCAACCCATTTATTAATTGGGTTGAAATTTCAACCTAACCCAACTTGTTTACGTAAATGGGTTGATATTTCAACCCAACCCAAATTTTTAGATAAATTGGTTGTCATCCGGGTTGACCCGTTTATGTAGTCCTAATCCAACTTACTAAATAAATTGGTTAAATTTGAGTTGACCCATTTAAAATAAAAACAAATAAATTAATTAATTAAAGATTACACCATTTAAGTTAGTTATAGACTTAAATAAAATTTTAAAGTATGACAAAAACACAATCTCAATTCACAAATACTAAGAAATTATTCAAATAACATCAAATATATGTAATTTCTAAGTGATTTTTTAGAGTTGCTAGTGTTGTCGGTGCCAAGAAAAAATATAAGAATTAGGATTCTATTTTTTAAAACATAAATAATAATATGAACATTGTAATTTATAAACTAATACTTAGATTAAAACATGATAATATTTAAATAATTATTAATTAAATATAAAATTATAAATTAAAGTTAAATGAGTTGGCAGGTTGAAAACGAGTTTTTTATCCGACCCAACCGATTTAATTAAATGTATTAGACATGTTGACCCATTTAACTTAACTGGGTTGAAAATCTCAACCCAACCTGCTAATTTTGGGTTGGGTTCGGATTGGTGGGTTGGATCGATTTTTGCCGGCTCTAAACCCTAACTTATTCGACCTAAACTCATATAAGTTGTTCCTACCGATTAAATTGAACCCTAACTTTTAACATTAATCTTGGTGCTAACACATGATAACACAATTAAGTCTAATAAACTCATAATCACACGAGTTGGATCATTCTACAACCCACCTACATGGATTACAGAAAATGTAATCAAATCTTTTAAAACTGAAAAATACAACACAGGAGGAAGTGGGTATCGAATAATAAATGCATGGGCTCGCTGGAAGGAGTCTTGAATGTAACGAAGATAGGAAACTAGCATGAATACTTGACAATGAAAAGATGGGGTCGGGGGTTTTGTTGGTTACTTACTAATTAAATTTTAATATTTATTTTTTAAAAAGAAACATGAATAAAATAAGTGGATTGGAGGACAAATATGATTGATTGATAATGATATGTATAAGTAAACAAAAGCAAGTGTGTTGCCCCTTATATGTATTGAATTACTTTACCCTTAACATATTTCAAAAGGCAATTGATTATATACCACGAGAAAAATATGGACAAAAATTGCTGACTTTTCGTTTAAACCAATACATATATCGAATTTACTTACATATAAGTATTATATTTATTACCATCTGTATCCATACATTTACTAATTGCTATACAATATAACCCACGATTTCAACATTGAACTTAAGACCATATGTATATATAAAGAACCAAAGAAATGAAGCATTTTTTCATCACTAATCTTCTCCTTACTTGAATATAACTTGAAGATTCACATAATCTCCTCCTATAATATATAATATTTATACATCCATCATCATATATCATATAATATATGTCTCCAAACCTATTAAGCTTCCAGCAACTTTGCTGCCAGATGCTCTTGACTTTGTGACACCTCTAAATCCTTCAATACCTTATCACATAGCTGCATAAACACAAACACACACTTGTATTAAATAACTCAAATCATAATGTAATGCGTGTTTTTGAGGATGAATTAGTGAGTACCTGTCTATATACACTACTCTCCCCGCTGTTTTTTCTTAATTCAACTACATACAAACACGGGTTTATTTCAAACACCTGCAAATAAAAAAAAATCATTAGAAAAAAAAAAAAGAGCAAAAGGTGGTTGTTTAAGTTGAAATTAAGTTTAATTTGAGTGTTTACTTCTGCTGTAACGGATAAATTACAAGGCTTCCTCTGCCCGTTGTGATCTTCTAACACCTTCAACTAAAAACACGAAGCAAAATTTCAGCAAAAATGTAAAAAGTTTATATAATTTCTTTCTCCTGTTTTATGTTTTGTAAATTTGAACATTAAATCAGATTTATTTGGCTTAACCCTTTATGTCATTATGTACAGATTAAGTAAAAAAGAAACAGCCCTTTACTCACCTTTCCATTTCTTTTTTGAACTACAAATCCCATCTGTGATACTGTATCTTCGATTCTTCCTAACAACTTTCTTGGAGAACATGTGGATGTAAACCTCACAGTTCTCTCCGATACATCCTGAAATAGAAAAAAAAATTAATAATAATTTTTTTCCATATAAAGATTAATTCTGCTAATTAAAAATAGTGAAAAAGAATCTGATAGAATCGTTTACCTCTTTCTCAAAGAAACCAGAGAGATCCAGACAAGATGACATTCCAATGAGTTCAAAAGCATTGATATGAGTAGGTGATTCGGGATCTTTTTCTGAATCTGTTGGCTATAACAAGTCAACAACCATAAAAAGTAAAAAAAAAAAGATTAATAATTTATTATTCCAAAATGGTCTTTGAAATAATTTATTAAAAAAAGATTAATTACTTACAGCTTCATGTAAAGATAAAACTTCAACTTCAACAGGTACTACATCGTCTTCCTCTTCATCAAGAATTGCAGGAGTATAATCCTGTTTAAACCATTCGTCTGCTTTGATTTCTGCTATTGTTATCCTTGTTTTAGGGTTTGGATCAAGAATTCTCTGTATCAAATTCTTTGCCCCTGAAGGTAACCATTTCGGCATTTGCACATCCCCTTTGAAAATCTGCAAATACCCTTTTCTTTATAAACTTCAAAACATCCAATTTAATAAAAATAATAATAAAAAAAATTTATGTTTGGATACCTTTTGATAAAGAACTGCAAGATTTCTATCATCAAATGGGAGATAACCGGTTAGGATTACATATAAAATGACCCCACATGACCATGTATCTGACGTGGCGCCATCGTACCCTCTGTTGGAAAGAATCTCGGGTGCAACATAGTTAGGACTTCCACAAGTCGTATGTAGTAGCCCATCGTCCTAATACATCACAAACATAAAAAAGAAATTATAATCTGATTTTTAATTTCCCATTTTTATGTGTAGTGTAACAAAAAGTAGTCTAGAGTGATTTTGAGACAAAATACCCTTAAATGTTGGGGCAGTGCACTAAGGCCAAAATCTGATATTTTGATGCTTCCTTTTGCATCAACGAGAACATTCTCGAGCTGCAGTTTCTCAAAGCAGCATTTTATCAGTCCTATTATATGTAAAAACATCAATACACCATGACCATTTTTTAGGATCTTGATGTTATTTATTATAGTAGAACAAAATAAAAAAAATAAAAATGAAGGCATTAATGAACGAACGACCTTTAAGTCACGGTGATAAACGCCTTTATCATGACAATAACTGACCCCATCAATCAACTGTTGGAAAAACTTCCGCCCATTTGATTCGGGCAATTTACCTTTTGATGCCTGTAAAAGTTTGAAATTTTGTAAGACTTGATTTTGTGATGTAAGAGTATCTTTTATAAGGTGAAAAGCAGATGGTTTCTTACAATTGTATCGAATAGTTCGCCTCCATTTACGTATTCAAGAATCATGTAAATCTTGGTTTTGCTTGCCAAAACCTGCATCACAAAGTTATTTCATGTAAGACCCCGAAAAAGTAACAGTAGTAATAATAATAATAATAATAATAATAAAGATAACAGAATGAATGACATATGCACATATGCCCTTTTGAGAACTTGATATATCTTAAGTAATTGGTAAACTAGGATTAGAAGTTAGGTTAACCACTATTAACAGTCCACCAACACCAAATTATTGGAACGTATTGATTATTAATATTCATAGAAAACGATGTCTTCTTCGTAAAATTATTTAATTTTAAGAATTAATCCATAACTTTCTCTGACCCACCACCCCTCAATTACTTCCTTCCTATCTTGATCTTGATCCATTCAATAGGAAACCCAGTTTTCGATATTTCTTTGACTGGGTATAAAAAATTATTGATAGGCAATCGTGACCAAGAACGTTTCTTTTCATGATCCGATATTTCATGATAATTAATAATAATAAACTAAAAAAGAAGAAGAAGAAGAAGAAGAAGAAGAAGAAGAAGAATCGGATCTATGGTTAGAAAGGCACCTCGTGTAATCGAACAACATTAGGATGTTTGAGGATCTTCAATGTGGCAATCTCCCTTTTTATCTGCAACAAGTCAATAGTATACATATCAGAATAGATTCAACTCAAATTTGAAGATTATTCTCCAAGTCTTCAAACACATTCCAAATCAAAAATCACAACTCATAACCGACTAAATTATAATGAAACATCAATTCAGTTTCACTAGATAGAAGATGGAAGAGTAACGGAATGGAATTGATTATTATACCTGATCTGAGAAGTTGAGGTTTTTGATACGGGTTTTTTCAAGGATTTTCACAGCAAAAGGGTGTCCAGTTTGAACGTCTTTAGCGAATTTAACTTTCCCAAAATTGCCTTCACCAAGTGTTCTTCCGATCTCGTATTTCCCCAATTGCAATTGCGTTCCCTCTTCTCCTCCACTCTTCTTTCTCCCAACTAATACCATTTGTTTCTTTTCCTCAATTATCAATCAAACAATAAACGAATAAACACGAATATGAATTGATTTGAGAGACAAGTGTATTATGTGCTTTGCTCTGCTCTGCTCTAATGAGAAAAAATATTTCTGTATTTAAAACAGTTGTTTGGTGGGTGTATATATATACATGGCCATATATGTAATTGTAACTATTGGATTTCTCCATTTTTTTTCTTTATATTAATTTTCTAATAATTATTAAATAGAAATAAAATAAGATAATAATGAAAAGACTTGAGAGAACGCCAATTATAGATTCAAGGAAAGTCTTCCAATAATATTTCAAGAAACACGTTGATGATCAGATAAATATTACCAACACGCCATTGGAAGTTTCAGTTTTCAGTTAAGTATTTTTAATTAACAAGTTGAAATTGGAATATTTTATTGTTTTTTAAATTAATAATTGTCATAAACAGGTATATTAAATTTTGAGTTTTTTTTATTGTTTTTTAAATTAATAATTGTCATAAACAGATATACTACCAAACGATAGTGCCTTCAACGTTGTACCCTTATCTAAGCTTTATAATTCATTAATGGTAGATGCCTGCTTAATTTAAATCCAATGTAATCTAATTGTCTTTTTTCTTTTTTCTTTTTTTGTAATCTTCATAAACATAAATTTTATTTAAGATATAGAAACTATATATTTTTTTTATTCTTCAAAGATAGCTAAATAACATATGTATACTTTTAGGATTTAAGACATCTAGCCAAGTACTTTGTCTTCTTTATCTATGTGATAATAAACGTAGATTTTTATTCACAGTAACAAGGTACATTCAAATTTTATATAGCCTTAGCTATTACTTTGTCAAATGACACACATCACATGCCCACATATACATAAGTATTGGCACGAATTTAGAAAAATTGAGATCTTAAATATCAGTATATAAAAAATCTTCAATTTCAAACCCATTTCAAGCAATAGATTTTTTCATTAACGTCGGTGCTTCTTCTTCAAGGTATTGCTATAAAAAAATATACTAGTAGATTTCACATCATCAAGAATGAAAAGAACTCGGTGGTTTTTTGTTCTCAACAATGGTTGCTTAACCCACATCAAGGAAAATAATGAAGTTTTGTGATGATACTACATTACTACTCCACATGGAGAGGGGCGAGGAGTGTCCACATAGAATCGTATGGTCCCGAATCCAAGTTTGACAATCACAATTGTCCAGTTTAACTAATGTGACAAATTTAGGTGTTTGTTTGTTTTTTCTGAGGCAAAATGTCTGTAGTCTGCGGACCACATCTGTAGACCTCTGCAGTAGAAGATGTGGACCAAACGTCTGCAGTCTGAAAAAAGAAGATTGTTTGTTTTTTTAACATCTGCGGGCTACTAAAATAAACTAAAATCTAAATAAACTTATTTTTTTAAACTTCAAAGTGATTTTTTAATATTTTTATGACTTTGTTATAAATAATTAATGAATCTAGATTAACTTTTATGTATTATTGTATAAAAATAAAAATAAAAATGGTATGAATTAACATATATATTTGATAAAAATCAACAACTTTGGTTGTAAAGTTATAACTAAACATTATAATTAGTGATCAAAGAATTTGATACATAAATGGATGGAAATAAACTTCGATTTTTTCAATTAAATCCATTAAAAACGTACCATAAATATTTTCTCGAGAAATTGACGATACTGTATTAAATAATGTTTTACAAAAGTTGGCAAAAAAATATAAGAATATATTATGAATTTTTTTTCATATTTATATAAACAACTACAACGACTATTATTATAATAAATCTTTATTTATAAATTTGTTAAAAATATCATGTTTGTATCGTCGAACGTTTTTTTTTTAAGTTTTGTAGTTTTTTTTTTCAAATTGTTTATCATTAATAAAGTTGGAAAAAATATAAATTAAAAAAAAACTTAAAAAAAATAAAGATATATATGTTTTTTTAGGCTAGAAGATGTCTGATGATGTTAGAAGACTCTGGTCCACATCTGCGCCAAGAAGAGGACGCGCATACATTTTTAGGTCTGCAGTCTTCAAAAAAACAAACAGTCTGCGAAAGCTAATGTCTGCGCGTGGTCTGCGCGGCGCAGACAGAAGAGGCCACGCAGATCTGCAAACAAAAAACAAACACTATGAAAGATTTGGTTATCCGGTGGAGTTGTCAATAATAATGCGAAAGGCAAAAATTTTAAAAACACGGTAGTCAATGTATTCAAATTGTTAACTATGAGTTTTCGTATTCTGAAAACATTCTATAAGCATATCACTTCTTCGTTGCTAGTAGTAACTAAACACATTTATTTATTTTTTGTTAATACTAAGATTTTTTTTTTTTTTTTAATTTCTCATTGCTTTTTTCTCAAATTCCATATTATGGAGTATCTTTTTTACTTTTGTTATCTTAATGTAATAAAATTTCAAGATATATTTCGATATTTATAAATAAGATCTTTTGTTTCTTAAACACTTCATTATACAATTATATATTAATGTGGTTTAATTTGAAAATCGTAATTATAGCTATCTATTAATTATAAAGATGTCCATTAAAAAAATTTAAGAGTGTCCATCTAAAGTAGTTTAATACCCGTTCGGTGAACGAGTTAACCGATAAATAAATAATAATTAATTGTTTGTATAATATAATTGTCTATACAGTTGATGATGCATTACATGGTGTCAAATAAACAATATTTACTTGAAATGTGGATGTAACAACAATGAACCGGTTTTACTTTATATTGTAGCATTATGCTTTAATTTATTCCTATTATAGCATTTTACTTTGACAAATCTACCCGATTATAGTAACATTCAAATAAAGTTGTTTATTTTTTTAGCAGACAATGAATCGGGAGAAATATACATTTAGTGATGTGTCTATTATACCATCCTGCTTTCAATTACATAATTATTTTTTTCAAAAATTTTAAACTTAAATATTATACTTACAAAAAAAATACCAAATGATTGTAATTTTTAACTTATTAAAATTATGCAGATAAATAACAAAAAACATCACTTACAAAAAGATATAAAACACATTAGTTAATAAAAATAATTTGAAAACTGGGAAAGAAATGCAAGGTACAAAACAATATTATACATTAGAATTGTTTGTCCTTGAGCTTTATTGATCAAAGAACCAAAATTGAAACCAATACACACAACCATACATTTCTATTTCTAATCCGAAAAAATGCATAGACAACCACAGTCTCAAATAAAGAATCTCATAAACACCTTAGATAACAGTATGGTTCCTATTCTTGAAATTGATTAAGATAGATTATGAAGAGTGAGCAAGGTTATCGTTCAAAACAGTGAGCTCCAGTGTTATCCTGATTCTTGAAATCACAAAAAACATGAGTTTTGCTTGTTGTTTGGGCAGCGCAAATAAGCATTTTTTGCTATTATAAGAAACATTAGATACCATGAAATATAAACTTTGGCAATTGTTTTTTTTAGGTTGCATAATAGACACTACATGCCTATTTAATTGCTGAATTTTTTCTCCTACGACAAATCTACTCGGTTATAATTATATCATCCATATAAAGTTGTTTACTTTTTGTAAACAATGCATTTGGATCATTGTACATTTGTTGATTTGTTTATTATTGTTGGATTAGGTGTCTAAGCCCTTAACTATAATTGGTATGTACTTGAATTGATAGCAGCACAGTCCTTTTGGGTTGCCCTCAACCTAGCAACTGGACAAGGAAATTATGAAAGGAGAGATATTAATTTATAAGATTAATTAATATATATATAAATGATTTAATAATATGTTAATGGATTAATATATTAATTAGAAATCATTATGTTTAATTAATTGTTAGCCAGAATTAATCAAATTGATTTTGGGGTTAAAAGAATTAATTATAAGGTGCAGGGACTAGTTTGCAATTATCTAATAGTTGAGTGGAAGGCTCTAGAACCCCTTTGGAGAGGGTGGACGAAATTCTTTAGGGGAAACCCTAATAATTTCGTCCATAGGGGCTTGGATAAGGCCCTTGGGTTTGCTTAGGCCCTAAGCAAAGGATAACTAGGGTTTCCCTTAAACCCTAGATCCCTCAGCTATATAAGGAGCCTCCTGGTTCATGTTTTTGGTGACTCTTTCTTTTGAAGAAACCTAAGGCCGAGATTTTGCATACTCCCTCTCCCCTCTCTCTTCTACTTTCCTTCTTGCTAGTTCTTGGGTGTGATTTCCATTAGAGGCATTACATTTGTGGTGCTGATCCAAGAAGATCAAGATCAAGATCAAGGGATATCAATGTTTGCTATAACAATTGAAAGGTATGTAAACCCTAAACCCTAGTTTGTTAATTTCGAAATTAGCTCTCTCCTCTAGGGTTATTGTTTTGCAATCAAAGTTGTATGTTCAATAGTTAAAACAGATTCCAAAGTAGGTTGCATGTGAACTTAGGAATTGTTTTCTAGTTTATTTGTTGTACCTAAACCCATCAGTGGTATCAGAGCCATTGTTGTTTTAAATTGAATTGCTACAATTGTTGAATTGCAAATTAGGGTTTAATAGCTATAAACCCTAAAGGCCAAAATTTCGATTTCTAGGGTTTTGGATCAAAGGGTTTTTTCGAAAACCCTAGGCCTCCAAAGAACCCTTCGAAATTAGGGTTAGGGTTTTGAAAAACCCTAGCCTCCTCCCTTGTAAATTTCGAAATATGCTAGAGGATAACTAGGGTTTCTTGTTTTGGATAATTGTTACTTAATTAGATTTAATTAATGGATAATTATCCTTACCCTAATTTTCGAAACTTAGAGGGATAAAGATTAGGATTAAATTAATGGATTAATTTAATTAGATAATCCTTACAAGATTTAATAATTGATTAATAGTTAATTAAAAGATACATATTAAATCTAGTTAATGGGTTATTTAAATTTAAATTTAATAGCTGTTAAATTTTCGAATTTATAAACCCTTGAGTTTTAAATGTTTTAAAACACACACCTTATCTATATTTATAATTAAACGTTTACTATTATATATGTATAAGAACATGGTCAGTCAAATCGCAAGTATGCCTCATTCACGAAGCTAATCTATAAGGGGGGTTATAAGGAAACTGCCTATAAAATGGTAGTTGAATGGGTGTCCACTCTCACCCACCGC